ATCAGGGGGTACCACCCTCATGACCTCATCCAAACCTAATTACCTCCAAACTGTCTCTCCTCCTAATGCCACTGCACCAGGGGGCTGGGGTTCAGACAGGTTTGAGAGCACAGACGTTCAGTTCTATGACAGGGAAACCCGGGCTTCTGTGAGAGCTACCACTGACCACTGAGGGGAGGGGAGGGCGGGAGCAAGAAAAGAGGGAAGCCTGTTACCACCCAGACAAGGAATGGTGGTGGCTGTGGCTTGGGCCAGCGCGGAGGCAGTGGAGGTGGTAAGAAGTAATCAGATCCTGGAGAAACCTGGAAAGGAGAGACAGGATTTTCTGACAGATTGAATGAGAAATGGGAGAGAAGCTATGCAGGATGGCTCAGGGTTCTGAACTGAGTAACTGGAGGGTAAGATGGGAAATTGAGGGGGGTAGAACAGAGTTTGGCTGGAGAGGACCAGACATTTTGCCTGGTACTTGTTATGTTTAATATGTCTATTTGTGGGGCTGGCAGGTGGTGTGGTGGTTAAGGGCCCTGGACTTCTACATGGCTGACTGTGGTTCGAGTCCCAGACCTGGTGGCTGCTTTCTCATTTTCCTTCTCTCTCACTCTATCCCTCTCTGGTCAAATTACATAAATAAATAATAGAGGCATATTTTTGAAGAGAAGTGAAAGTGCAAAGTTCAGGGAATTCAGTGGAAAGTTGTCACTGTAGATGATTATACTATAAAGAGTGTGGGTTTTAGAGTCAGATGGATTTGTGTTCAAATCTCAGTTCAATTACTTACTGGCTGTATCAACCTGGAAAAGTGTCTTAACTTCCTGTGAACCTTGTTCTCTATTCGTTATTTTCTCAGTGCCTCCATGGGTCAGGTACTTTTGTTCCAGGTGCTGGGAACACAGGAATCAACGAAAGGAACTCCTTACTCTCGGGGAGTCTACACTCAGATAAAACAAGGATAGCAATAAATGAGCACCTCATTAGCGGTCATTGAATGATTCGTGTGTGAATTGCTTCAAGCACTCAGGAAAGTGCTTTGTCCAGTAAAAAAGCTGATTTTATCACCCTCTTCCTGCTGTCTACCCTTTGGAGGATCAATTGTGTCATATGCTGAGACGAACGAGGACCAGAGACTGTTTAGAGCAGCAGCTTTCTAGCTCTCTGGGAACTATAGAACTGAGTCCCGAAGGCAGAAGGTGGTTTCGGATACTAGAAATTACAGAACTATGGTATGTTGTCTGCCCAGCAAGTTGGCCTCTGGCTTTGCTGCTTTCACATTATTCTGGCACAGTGACAAAGAATGAGGTGATGCCCGAGAGGCATGGCTAGTCTAGCAAGCAAGCATCTGGGACAGTATCTTAGCAATAGTTTGTTCTTGCTGTAATAAACATACCCAAGTTAAAAGTCACTGTTTCCTCTTCAGTGACAGATGTCTGGGTTACTACTTCAAGTCTAAGTCAACTCAGTGAGCGGAAGAGTAAGCCACAGAGAGCTCACCACGGGCCAGAAGAGGCCTTCGGATGAAGTCTGAGTTTCTGGGCCTGTTTTTTGTTTGTTGTTTTTGTTTTATAGAGGTTTTTGCTATAGGGCATGTGCACTTGCCAGAAGACAGAGAGAGACATAGAGACAGAAAGCGAGAAATCCCCCCCTAGGGGGGATGGCCGCGCCACAATCCCTTCTCCTCCATTCTCCTCTTGGGATCTTGGGCACGCACGCACACGTGCCCGGCATGAGTTTAAGCCACCAGGTCCGGGACTTGAATAGTGATTGACTACATGAGAGTCCAGTGATGTAGCCATTACACCATCTGCTGGTCCCCTGGGCCTGTTTTTCTTATGTTTGATCATTAGTTATCAAAAATTACAATATACCTGCATATTGCTAAGGAGTTTGATAATAATTTTAAGAATCATGACATCCAGGAGAATTTCTTTTTATAGACAGAGCATAATAGTCCAAAGAAATTATATTTTCATTCCTAAATATTTTTTATTACAGGAAAATATGTTAAGATGATCAAAAAGATGGAGACAGCAGGTTGCATAGTGAAGGCACTGGACTTCTACATGGCCAACTACAGTTCAAATCCTGGACCTAGTAGCTTGAAAATTACAACAGGCACATGTGCATTCATGCCAAAAAAATCAGGAGAGAATGGAGAAGGGATTGCAGCATGGCCATCCCCCTTGGGAGGTGGGGTGAGTTCTCATTTTTCTCTTTTTATCTCTGTCTATCTCTAGCGAGTGCATATACACTATGGAAAAAAAACCCCATAAAGATACACATAAAAATCTATTGCTTTAGGATAAACATTTGTGGACAAAGTAGAATGGATATTGGATCTCAAGGAGAAAAGGGAGTAGAGTAGATTTTTTAAATTGCTTGTTCTTGTGTGCTTTAGGTGGACAATCATAAGGTATCAAACTGTTATAATGTTTATTTCCCAGTGGGATATTTTTTAAAAGTAATGTTGCGGTTTAATTTTAAAACACAAATATCACTAGTAAGATCCAGTCTTGGAACTATTTAAACTTATCATTAAAACGTTTTAGAAGACAACTTTATAAAGTGCAAGAGAGTTCTTAGCTTTGAATATTATTTTAGAGGTCCATGAGCAATCACGTTTGGAGCCCACTGGCATAAGGTATCACTGGAGGGATCATGCAGTGTGCAGCAGTAAAACGAGACACACTGCAAGGCTGACCCCACACAGGAAGGTTCCGGGTTCAGACCCAGAGACCTTTCCAAGTACTTCATGACATGCTGTGCGCATGAACTCAGAGTGGTGGAGGTTGGAGGATGGGTCAAGGCATCAGTATCCCATTGGGAATGTTTCTCTCTCTTTCTGACCCCCTTAGTCACGGAATAAACTTAAAAAAAAAAAAAAGAATCGATGAAAAGACTGAGAAAACTTCAGAAAGGACAGGAAGGCAAAGCATACCTCACTTGCTGGGCTTTGTAGACCCCGTTGGCATTACCATGAGATTCACTCAGTTTTTTTTTTTTTTTTCCTTTAAAGAATGATTCACTTAATATTATTTAACTTGCTATTGGTCATAGGCATTAACCAGAGAAAATGAGAGCGAGCAGGAAAGTAAGACAGCAAAAGCGGCCAAGTTTGGGATTTGAACCATGGAGTCCAGCACCTTAGCTACCACGCCACCAGCAGGCCCCAGCATCACTCAGCTCTTAAGGCCTTCCATGCTTGACTTTCAACTCGAGAGCCCAATTCCAAAGAAAGGGAGACTGAAAGACCTGGGTGGAATTGGTCTCCCCAGGCCCAGCCAGCTTTCCCTCTGGTTCCCACAACCTTGCACACATGTCTTCCATAGCTCCAGCCATAGTCATGTCCCCCAGGTGTTGGGAACATTCACTGAGCGCTAGTGAGGGTGCTGGAAAGTTCCAGTCAGATTAGTCTTAACTGCAGTGGCTCCCACACAGGTACCTGGGAGTCTTTCCACATTGGACTGAGATCCGTTTGATTGGGCTCTTCAGGGGATTTTTGTTAAAGAGTGTAGGAGGTGACAGCTAGATTCCCTGCTCAGAGTATGGGTTTCTGAGGCTGTGGAGATGTAACCCTACAGCAATAGATGAGATATTCTTATTTACAAAATGGATTGGGAGTAAGATGTCTTAAAAGTGAAATAAATGTACTGGAGCCAGCAGGTGGTATGGTGGTTGAGGCACTGGACTCCCACATGGCTGACTATGGTTCGAGTCCTGGACCTGGTGGCTTGTTGTCTCACTTTCCATGTCTCTCTCTCTCTGGTCAAATTTAAAATACTACTAATAATAAATAAGATCAAACATTTTTTTTTTAAAATAAAATGTACCATAGTAAAGTTTCCTTTAATAAAACCCACCAGTGAGTTTAAGATTTTTTATCAAAATTTAAAACCCACATAACTTTTATAAAGCTATTTCACATGATAAATGATATAGGTAGAAGTATATTCATAACAGTTTTTTTTTAAAGTGGTTATACTTCCATGGAGTACTAAATAAATGATCCGTATTAACAGAATACTATGCTGCCTTTAAGAGAATGGAGGGGGTGTTGAGATGGAGAGAGCTCTAAGATACACTAATTTAAAAGCAGGGTAAAGAATATGCTATCCCTGTATAATAATCACATACATATATGATTATATGTGTTAGTACACAGAGTATTTCTTTTCTTTTTTTTGGAGAGGTTTTTCGCTATAGGGTGCATGCGCTCGCCAGACAGACAGAGAGAAACAGAGAGACAGAAAGCGAGAAATCACCCCCCGGGGGGATGGCCACGCCGCAATCCCTTCTCCATTCTCCTCTTGGGATCTTGGGCACGCACGCACATGCACCCGGCGTGAGTTTTAAGCCACCGGGTCCGGGACGCGAACCGCAGTCAACTACGTGGGAGTCCAGTGACATAGCCATTACACGAACTGCTGGTTCCCTCACAGAGTATTTCTGAAAAGGTAACCTTGGTTTTACTAGTTTGCTGAAGTGAGAGAAATGGGATGGCTAAAAGGAAAGGAGAGGCAGATTTTTCTTGTCTCACATGCATTATTATCCACTCAATTTTCATTATAAACACTTTCTTCTCCTAGTTAGAAATGTGCCTTTGTATCCGTTGTGATACACCGATGTTGAAAGTTTCTCGTCAAGCTAATTTCTGCAATATACACATATAGATTGATTCTCTTTCGATGGGAAAATTTGGTTCCCTTACTATTTAACTACGTGATACTGGGCAAGTCAACTACCTCTGTGAGTCTTCATTTGAAAATTATGGGTTTATGCTAGAGGAGTAACTTCCAAAAATCTATTCCTGGTCTAAGATGCTGTGATTGTATGACTTGGTTACGCATATCCTTTTCAAAAATGCAATAAATTGCAAAGAGAATCTGAGTCACGTAGCAGAAAGAATCATATACAATCTATTTCTTCCTTGAATCACACTTTATAAACTCCCTTTCCTTCCACTCCATTGTACTTTGAAACGCCCAAGGAACAACAAAAGAGGCATATTCAACTGAAGAAATTTATTTACTTTTTTTTTCTAGGTACATAGATGACATAATTATAGACAAATTTTGATACATAGGAAACCCCTCTGTCCACCTTTCTCTTTGCTAAATGAATCGTCACAATACTTTTTACAAGTTTTAAAACAATACACAGCTTTCTTGGGTTGAAGCAATTGCAAGAACATATTGGTACTGGTATATTACAGCTACTTACAATGTTTAAGAACAGCAATGGAGAAAAATAAGTTATTTAAATATTGATTTCATATACAGAAAGTGCAATGTTGTTAGTTGTTATATAACTTGCTTGACAGTTTGTTTTCTCTATCAATTTAAAATCAAGATAACTTGGACTCAGACTATTATATATTTTTTTTTTCTGAAAAAGAATACAGTACACACATGCAGCCGTGACTTGGTGAAGTGACTTCTTTGCTGCAGTTAGGAAAGCAGACTTTGCTATGTCAGAAACTGCTTTGCAATAGATTAATCGTTTCCCATTTCACCCACACCTGGGTTCAGGGCAGGAAAGAGGGCCTCTGACTAAGATAAGGCCATGAAAAGATAACTACTTCTTGGTTATCTGGGAATGCAACTAGTAGGTGGAGCTGACTGCATTTCCTTCTAGACAGCTTTGAAGTGAAGAAGTATACACAACGTTATGTGTAGCTACCTGAGCCGAACTGCCTTTCCAGGTTTCTTTTGTGCTTTCCAAAAACAACAATGTTCACCCTTACTCAGAATTCTGTACCAAATGCACCAGATTAAAACGATATTGCTGAAGCCTGTCAGCTGTCTACTAACGTCCGCAGGTGGCCCCAGACCACCTCAGTCCAATGTCACACACAGACACGCAGGCTCTTCTCAGACCAAATGAAAAGTTTAAAGCGAAAGAAGACCAATCACTAGAAATATATATTCAAAAATTGTTTTAAAAACAACACAGTTAAGTAGAAACAACCTCAGACCCTTCAGGTTAGACATACTTGCTAAAAATTATTTGTGGTCCCTGAATTAGATTTTTTTTTATGCAAAGGCAATGATTTCCAAAGAGTGATAAAAATACAGTTTGGCATTCTCAAAAACTCCAATCCTGAAGTTCCCTTTTCTGGTGCTACTTTTACTTAAATAAAAATTGTACATGGAGAATGAACTAAAACTTGGAAATTCACATGCGATTTCTTCTCCTTTGTTACATGACTTTTGTGTGGTCTTTTTGCTCAGCTTAAACGATGAGCACATCTGTCAGAATGTCAAGCCAAGGTATTTATTTTGCAAGCAGGAAGAGACACCTGCTTTACAGCTCTCTCCTCCATGACAGCACACGGAATATTCTGGAATGATGTGGATGTATGAGAACCCTGAGGCTCGTTACATTCCACATGGGCTATGCCACAACCCAAGAGGACAAAAATGAGCTCTTTTTAAAAATTCAGTAGAAATTTGGCAGCTATAACCTTTCATTCTGATTTCCACATCTTCACATGGCATTTTATAGAAGGTGAATATTATCAAAACATACATTATATTTAAAGAAAAAAAAACAACGAATCCAAAGCGTGAAAAAAATACATCACCTGAGAATGTCCTCTTCTTCAAGACATGGATGTGGATATATAAAGTAAATGTTAATGAGGGTTTTGTAATTAATGAAATCGCCTTCCCCTTTCTGAAGGAAATACTTGTTTACTAAGAAGATGAAATATCACAGAGCTTTTGATCACAGCCTGGGTTCAATGTGTTTCTATTATAAAGGATCACACTTGATGTCTGAAAGGGGGCTCCTGATTAAGAATGCAAAAGAAAGTCATTGCATAAGCAATGGAAACCGTAATGGTTTAATCGTTTACATTTGCTGTTTGCTAGAAAATCAGACACTAGCCTAGACGAGGATAAAATATGTTGGAATCAGCTGGAAAACAATAGAAAATATGAAATACTTAATAAATGGCTAATGTGGTTTGTCTGGCTCCATAATGAACCTTCGAATGAAAAGAGTGATCTAAATAAGAAAAGAAGGATAATAATACCTTAATTATAAAACTGAACAAACTTGTAAAAAATCTTATACACTACTTCCCTTTTTAAAAACATCTTTCTGAAATAGTCAACCATACGATGATGTTTTGTGAAGGTAACCTGTTAACTGATGACTGAATTTCAGAATGGTCATGGTTAGGATTCCAAGTCAATACTGCAGCTCAATAACCAATGTGTTAACACGATTAAAACGAGAGGCAACTACTATCAACATAAGCACACAAGCACGCATGTAGGCACATGCGCGTGCGCACACACACACACACACACACACACCCCTCTGTAATTTCAAATAGCTTTTTACTGGATTTGTAGTTTGTTTAAAAACTGAAAGCCAACATGAAATGTGTGCCTGATAAACACCCCTACAAAATAAGCCATGTTAGAATGAGACAATCAGAAAAGTCCATTTTGGATGAAAACATCCCAGATGTGTTAGATGGCAGTCTAAGCTGAAGATTTAAACTATGGTTACAGGGTTGTGGACACTAGTTAGATAACTGCGTAAAAGCTTATATTAAGGCAAATAAAAGCTGATTGCTAGAAAAGCAATTATTAAAATGTCTGTTTACCTAAAGGAGAATACAACTGTTTTCTTCTAGTGCAGCCAGATGTTCTAACTTTTGAACAAATGAGCATGGTCAATTGTGTTTGATAACTCCCGATCCTGCTACTTTGGCCTAACTAAGTCCTCTGGCTGCGGGCGTCCCGCAGGGTGACAGAGAGCAAGGGAACTCTTACAACTGAACAGGCTGCCCTGCCCTCCCCTCCACTCCTCTGCCAGCCCATAAAGACAGACCAGAGGCACAGCGTTTGCAGTCAGTTGACACCTTGGTTTTTTCTATGTTCTGATAATAAAAATAAGTGCTTGTCTTTTCTTTGGGGGTCAAAGAGAACCACACCAATTTCCTTGAGGGGGCTTTTCTGGAGGAGAGGGTCCTCAGTCCTGGGCCAAGGTTCACACTCTTTTTGGCCACATGCTGGGCCGGTCTTCTGGATCTGGTCTGCATGTCCAGAGACGGAAGAATTGCATCAGCATCGTAAGCACAGTGAGGGGTGGCTCTTGTCCAGGGAGGCTCACGCAGGGCCTGGCTACATGGCCTCAGGGCCTGGCGGGAGTTTGAAGAGTCTGGCTGCGGATACGAGCTTTCTTATGTGTCTCTCCTCTGTGATGCCGGCCTCCTGAAGGCAAGTGTGGGACAGAGAAGGCACTTGGCTCAGTGTGCTGAAGCCCGCTTCTGAGAGGGTGCTGGTGTACATGGGCAGGCCAATGGAGACGAGCCACTCGGACATGGATGAGACGCATCCGGGGGACAGGGGCTTCCTACAGATTTCTGTGAGGCCATCACTTGGGATCTGGATAAAGAAAGACAGCAACATTGCAGAGACGTTATCGATACCCTTGGAGGGCTACTTCTTACATGCCTGAAAGGGACAGTACTGATGTACGGCATGGCTGGATTATTATCAGAAAGTGAAAACACATCATCAAGGAAGTGGTCTAGATGGTTCTAGAAGGTATGCAGAATTAGCTCAAATCCCAGTTATGTGTCCAAGTCTCCAAAGTGTAAACATTTATATACCCTGCTATTTGGTCTCACTGGAAGAGCTTTTCCACAAGAGATCCCTAAAATGATGTGACAAAACAAACCAATATGAAAAAGGATGTTCCCTGGTGAGGTTTTAGTAAAATATCTTTTCACTGTGTTTTGAGTCTACATTAACAACCAGAAAATCAAAGATTCAATCAATATAATGATAAAGAATTTAAAATATAAGAATATCATGTCTTTGTTAGGACAGGAAAATAGATACTTAAACTTGATTACTAGGAACATAAAAGGCTATCCTTTTCAGAAAAGTGATTTGCTAACAAGTCTGAAAAAATCCTTGAGGCTGTATACATTCGATGAAATGAACTCTCATCAAGAAGTAAATCCTCAGAAATTAATTCTGGAAGTCTACAAAGATTTATTAACAAGGATGTTCTTCTTCACTCCGTTATTCAATGTAAATATCTGGAAATAAATCTAAATATCGCAACAATATGAGATTGGCTAACCTATAATACATTCATCTACTAGATCACATGGAAATATTAATAACATAAAAAGAATTTTTTTAGTGGGGCCAGCAGACAGCGTGGTGGTTAAGCTGCTGGGCTCGACATGGTTGACTCTGGTTTGAGTCCTGGACTTGGAGGCTTGCTTTCTCTCTTTCTCTCTCTCCCTCCCAACTTTCTCTTTGGTGAGTATATGTTCCCCCATGGCAAATTTAGAAGATAAATAAATAAAAATATCAAATAAGATAAAGTACATAATTCTTTTTAAAAAAGGGAATTTTCTAGTAATAGAAACAGATTTATGATCTGACATCTGAAAAATAAAGCAGTTTTCAAAACCTTACATTTACTATTGTACTTGCAGGGAAAAACGCTCCACAGCTTCTTTTTATTTCACTTTACTTATTATTATTATTTTTTTTTTTGAGAGGTTTTTGCTATAGGATATGTGAGCTCACCAGAAAGAGAGAGACAGAGAGACAGTAAGCAAGAAATCGCTTCCCGGGGGATGGCCGTGCCACAATCCCTTCTCCTCCATTCTCCTCTCAGGACCTTGACCATGCACACACACATGCCTGGCCTGAGTTTAGGCCACCAGGTCCAGAACTCGAACTGTGGTCGACTGCATGGGAGTCCAACGACATAGCCATTACGCCAACTGCTGGCCCCTTTAATTTATTTTAAAAAAAATATTTTTTAATTATTATTTTTCAATTTGCTATAGGGCACATGTGCTCACCAGAGAGCGAGAAAGGGAGAAAGTGAGGAAGCAAGCTGCCACATCTGGGATTTAAACCGTAGTCAGCCATGTGGGAGTCTAGCATCTCAACCACCACACCAACTGCTGGTCCCACACAGCTTCTTTTTAAATGAGTAAAAACTATATATGTATTGTTTACAGCATGACTTTCTGATATTTGTACACACTGTGAAATGCCTTAATCAATCCATTAAATAGACATTATCTAGGGACCAGCAAACGGAATAATGATTATGTTGCTGGACCCCCCAGGGAATCAACTGTCGTTCGAGTCCCGGACATAGTATCTTAAAACTCATACTGGGTGCACATGTGTGCATGCCCAAAATCCTGAGAGAAGAATGGAGAAGAAAGCCATGGTGTGGCTATCCCCCGGGGGGTGAATTCTCACTTTCTGTCTCTGTCTCTCTGGCAAGCGCACGCACCCTATGGCAAAAATCTCTCTTAAGAAAAATGCATTATTTTACATACTCATTATTTTTTGTAGTGAGAACACTTAAAATCTACTCTCTTAGCAATTTTCCAGTATCCAATGTACTGTTATTAACTGTATTCACCATGCTAGATTAGATATCTTGAACTTCACTGAAATTATTTCCTCTAGAGAGATTTCCAGAAAAGCTTTTGTAGTGCTGGGATTAGAAATAATTTTCATTTTTATTCTTTCTAAAACTTTATTTATAAACATTTCCAGGCTGATCGTGTATTTTTTGTGTGGGGGGAGAGGTTTTTGCTATAGGGTGCGTGCACTCGCCAGAGAGACAGAAAGTGAGAAATCACCCCCCTGGGGGGATGGCCACGCCACAATCCCTTCTCCTCCATTCTCCTCTGGGGATCTTGGGCATGCACACACACATGCCTGGCATGAGTTTAAGCCACCGGGTCTGGGATGCAAACTGTGTTTGACTACATGAGAGTCCAGCGACAGACCATTACGCCAACTGCTGGTCCCCAGGCTGAGCATGTATTACTTTCTACCCAGCTGTCTTCTTTCCATAGCTGTACAGAACCTTCCCACCTGACAGCTGCTAGCAGGGCTATTGCCGAGCACCTAACAATTAATAAATATACTTCTCAACACCTGGCAAGGGCAGCCGGGGCCCGACCTGCTTACCGCCATGCGGTGCTGCTTCCGAAGCAGCTTCACACGAATCTGGTCCATGTTGGTGGCCACGTCCCTCTCGGGCTGATCCAGGTCTTCTGCATATCTCTGCACCAGGGCGGCAGGAATCCCACAGCGGCCATGCTGCCAGTGCAGAACAGAAACGGGGCATGAGAGTTGCAAGCGGCTATCCCCCACCCAATATATCGAACATAAGGTAGGATAAGATATTTAGCTACTGGAAAACATCACCCAAACTTTTGATTTAAGATGACTATATTTGGGGACAGCATATGACATAAGGGCTACGACACTGGATGCCTACGTAGTTGACTCCAGTCCGAGTCCCGGACCTGGCGGCTTAGAAGTCATGCCAGGCACGTGTGGGTGTGTGCCCAAGATCCTGAGAGGAGAATGGAAGAAAAGGGATCGTAGTGTGGCCATCACCCTGGGGGGGGTGGGGGGGGCAGTTATTTCTCACTTTCTGTCTGTCTATCTGGTGAGTGCATGGCCCCAATAGCAAGGGCCTCTCTTTAAAAAAAAAAAAAAAAAAAAAAAAAAATTAGAAGAACATAAAGAAAAGAAAAAATGAATATCATTTCTTTACTGTCAAGATAGATGCTTTAGAAGGATTACTTTCACATCTTTACCATCCAACTATAACGAGCTCCAGGAAAATGTTTTGACAATTAAGGAAAAACAAAATCATTTTCTATTTTTTTTTGGGTGGGGGGGCAATGCTCTCACCTCATTCTACCCAGTCATTTTGTAAAATGCGAATTCCTCTGATGTCTTTGAGGACAGTTTCCTAAACTGAAGGACAGAAGGACAAACTTTCCCTCTATCCATATTCTACCATTTGCGCTTCATCTGTTTAACTACACTGCCACGTTACCAGGTCATAACTGACTGAAGAGTAGAATCCTCACTACATTCGTAATTCAAAAGGGCTTATTCTCAAAATATCAAGGAGAAAGGGGAGAGTCTTATTGTAAATCATTCATGGTTGTAAGAATTTTATAACCAGGATTCTCAGGAATGTATTGTAACAAAGCGTGCATTGTTCAGGAGGAAAGTACAGCCACTTCTATATCGTTGATTTGTCTTCCAAGTCCTTTTTTAAAAAAATAAATCTTATTTTTGTTTTCAAATACAAAATGATTTCTTTTGGTATTTTATATTATCTTTTTCTCCCCCTATTACCCATATTGGTAATTGTACAATTATCTAAATAGGGTACTACAATTTTTTTTTTGAGAGATTTTGCCATAGTGCATGTGCGCTCGCCAGACAGAGAGAGACAGAAGGCAAGAAATCAGCCCCCAGGGGGAATGGCCATGCTGCAGTCCCTTCTCCTCCATTCTCTTGGGACCTTGGGCCCGCATGCACACGTGCCCGGGTCTGGAACTTGAACTGCAGTCAACTACATGGGAGTTCAGCAACATAGCCATTATGTCATCTGCTGGTCCTGGGTTCTACAATTTTTAAGGTATGTTCATGTTTATTTGCTCCCAGTAGTTCTTTAACAGGTAGTTATGCAGGTTATTTTACTCCTGGCTCACATATAGATAAATAAAGGAGGGAGAGATACTGTTGTCTAAAAACATTCACAGGAAAAGTGTACTATGAAAAAAAGTGCATGGATTTCAATTTTACATTTTTAAAAATGTTGATTCCATTTTTCCATGAAATTTTGGAAGTCCCTTCATACATGTTTAATAAGACAATGACACCTAGGGGCCTGCAGGTGACGTGGTGGTTAAAGGTGCTGAACTCCCACACGGCCAACCACGGTTCAAGTCCCAGACCTGGCAGCATGCTTTCTTACTTTCTCCCCACCCTCCTCTCCGTCTCTCCCTGGTCAAATAAAAAAAATAAAATAAAGTTAAATAAAATAAT